AAATTTGTATAAAATCTACAGTCAAAAATATGGTAATGTTATTCTGCATGGAAAATTTTCATTAAGTACAGTGAATATCAAAAATTTTGTTATAAATCTTTAGTACAGTCAATACTGAGCTGTGTACTCAATTAAGCAAGTAGTAGTAACAAAAACTTATATCATTGGAAACGTTACACTTGTTTTAACATTGCTACATATGCCAGCTTTACAAACATTTTAACTTCATTTACAAATGAAGCTAACCTCACTACTACTGAATGCTACTCATTGTCAGTTTTTCCTATTTGAGACTATTGAAGATTAGCATCACATTTCTCACACACATATATCATCTATCAGTTGGAAAAGTATTAAAGTCATGATTTGAGAGTTTTCTTGACATGCTCAATTGAAATTTTCAAATTGTGTGATATTTTTGGTGTAATAATTTCTGATAATTTGTGAAGCCTTAGAAGCTTCTTATGCACTTTCCATAATCATTATGTAAAAAGTATTGAATTTTAATTAAAGTAAAACTTACTGCCTTGTTATCTGGTTGAGTATTATCATAACCTGTGGTTAAATCTCTTATCCCCTGAATTTTATACTGCTGTAGATTTGTTGGATACTAAAAACAAAAAAATTTCATTATTAATTCTGAAATTCTTTTGCTTTCTTAAAGTGTAATCTTAAAGAAATAAATTGAATTAAATAGCTTAAAAAATATTAGATTTAAAGAAAACAGACTACTTTATTTACAGTTATTTAAGTCAACATATAAGAACTATAATCTAATAAAAAGTGTTAAAATTCCTTGTGGGAAAAAAATATTAAATTTACCGAGTCAGGGCCATTGAAGTTTCTCAATCGATCAAACATTGCATTTATCACAAGTTGATCATGGCAAATATAATAGGAATTGTTGCTAACATGGTAACCATATCTAAAAATAAAAAACATAAAATATGATAAAGGTTGTATTTTATCTTTTAAAATAATAATTAATTTAGTTAAAATTTCCAGTTAAAGTAGGCTTGCTTCTATTTACCAGCTGTTCTAGTTCTAAAATGTTTACAAATTCTGTTTGAAAATTCCAAATTTAATAAGTAGAGTGGAATAAATGACCATTAAATAAATTTTTGTTTTTCAAGAAACCAAGAAAATTCAATATTACATAAAAATACAATTACCTATATAGTAAACAATAATAGAACATATGCCTTTGCCATCCTTTGCCATTACTAATAAATCTGAAAATGTTTATGTCAGAATAAAAATTGTATTTCTAATTTTTCTGATAACCAATTCAAAATAGATTTACATGTCACAATTTTCATTTGAGGTACAGACAGTACATGATACATATAATTTATGGTGGCAGCCATCTATACTTCTGTAGTCAGTGCTTGTAAATCTTGCTCCACTAGCACCACAGCAGCTGACAAAGCAGAAATAGCTTAACTGTCTTTTTATACTGTGGCTTTCAGCAGCTTTACTAGGAAACATGCCTTTTATATTTATTATAAATTTCAATATCTCTAGAAGATAGTAAGTATATTCCACATCTTCATGTTTCTACTTTGCAAGAAACAAACAAGATTTTATATTTTATTCAAGGTAAATTTAAGCATCTAACAAGGAAGTTAACAAAAAATGTTGAATTACCAGAAAATTAATTTTTGCATCTTTGTATTTTTCAACTTTCAATATAAAAATTTATTAACTTTTTATTTGTCAATTTGTAAATAAACAAATTGCAACTTAATTTTAATGGAAATGTTGAAAAAATTATTAAAAGATTCAAGAAGAGAAATCTTTCAAAAACAAATTATTTTTTGATTAAGATGTTTAAAATTCTATAAAAAGTGATGAAAGATAGTTGTTAATAAACTATTATTTAAAAATATAAAAGAGATGAGTTATGAAAATTTTTAATTAGTTTTTAATAAAATTTAAAACCACTTACTGTTTATAAATATTTTCAAGTTCATTAGTTAATGTTAGACCTCTGGCATTCAAATGTGCACAAAGTTGGGCAATAGCCATTGCTGCTCCTACACCATCTTTGTCTAAGACTGTGGTACCACACATGAATCCTGAATATAAATAATTTTTAAATAATTATCATTAAAATAGCTTAATTTATGTAACAAGGTAATCAAAAACAAAAACATTCAATCATACCAATAGCTTCTTCAAATGCAAACAACACTGTTTTTCCATTTGCCATTAATTCACATGCTTTATTTGCCATCCACTTAAATCCAGTTAGTGTTTCCTAAAATTAATTTATAACATTTATTGTACAAACTTGTGTGTAGAATGAATATAATGTAATATACAGATTATATTTTTTTTACCTTGAGACATTGAAATAACTTAATTGGATCTCATTATTTTGGAAAAAGGTATACAAAAGTTGTAGGGTGTCGAGGGACAAATCAATTGGTGACCTCAGATTTGTCCTTGACCTTCAAGGTCATTTGGAGATCAAGTCTGTCTTTTTCAATGGGAACACACATCTTTGACCCCGGAAATGGAAAAAGTGGGAAATTTCACAACCAGATGTACCTTTGGTCTTATTGTCTAGGTCCAAGGTCAAGATTATTTTAAGGTTAAAATTATAAGCTTTTTCTAATGGGAAACTATACGTTTTATTACTGGAAGAGGCAGGGAGGTAAAAGTTATATTTTTCATAACCTTATTACTTTGAACTTTAAAAGCATTCACTACTTTTAGCACTACAGAGGAGTAACGATGTGGATGTAGTAGTTTTCTGCGCCCTTTGAGGTGCTTATTTTCAGTGAGTCTCTTTGCCTCACTATCGTGGTACTTGTTTTCGGTGAGTCACTTTAATTCTTACCATTGTTTGAGATGTTGGTTTTGGGGGAAAATTTTATAACAAATGTTCAAAATGATGCTCTTCCACTTTAATGTATTTATTGAGCCTCATTTACAATTATCACACTTGAGATGACCTTCAAGGTCAAATTTGGGGTACTCAAGATCATGGATGATTGTGAAATTTCCTGTTGTTTCCATGTAAATGTAACTTTTACCTTTAAGATCAATAAGATCAAAGGTACATCCGGTTGTGAAATTTCCTGCTCTTTCCATTTCCAGGGTCAAAAATGTGTGTTCCCATTGAAAAAAACAGACATGACCTCCAAATGATTTTGAAGGTCAAGGTCACATCTGAGGTCACCAATTGATTGGCCCCTTGACACACTACAACTTTTGTCTATACCTTTTTCCAAAATAATGAGTTCCAATTAAGTTATTTCAATGTTTCAAGATAAAAAATACACACTGTATAATTTTACAAATTTTTAAATAAAATATAAATTAATTGGAAAATTAAGAATCTTAAATTTCAACTTTGTAATTCTAATATTTTAACTTTGAAAAAGTTATATTTCAAAACACAACATGTATAGAAAGAAATACAGGTATCCCTCAAAGTTTGAAAATTGGGAATATCCCCTATACAACACAACTTCCAGTTTTGCTTTAATATAGTTTTGGAAATCCTCTGTACAAAATTTCACAATTACACAATTTTTAAGTGTAAACTTTGTTATTCACTATTTTTTTGATTAAGTAAGTAAGTGTGTTGTCAAATTTGTCTACAAATTTTAGAATATTGAAATTTTAAATTTGTTTTGTGCCTTTCATCAGGTTTAGCTTAATGAAAACTGACAGTAGAAGTTTTTCTTCCCTGTCCTAGTTTTCCTATGAACCAGGTGTCGTCATCATTACTTTCAGACTTTAGCCTCTAAGGCTGTCACTGTATTTTGTTTTTATATATTAATCGTCATATTTAGTAAAGTTTATTTAAACTTTACTAAATATATTTAAATATTTTTAGGTAAGTATTTAGGTAAATATTTAAACTTTTTTTAATGATAAGTAATCATTCATAAAAATGATGAATGAAATATAGTATCATCTCAAAATTCAAACTGAACAAATGCTACCTGCTAGAACAAATTATCGATTAATAACATTTTTATTTTGTCATCCATAGAAAATTATGATAAAAATAAAAGAATGAAGATGCTGCTGATATTTCTCATCAAGATTAACAAAAAAAACCTCAAAATATGATATTACTTTGAAAAAAGAAAACACCCTCATTTAACTAAAATTAATATTAACAGTACTTTTTATTGTGCTTTTATTGTTAGTTAATTAATTATTGATTGAAAATAAAGTAATGATTGCTTTAATAAACATATTTCTCTTAGTAATGAAAAAGAATAGTATACTTTTGTTAACTTCTGGAATGTAACCCTCCATTTTGCATTAGTCCTTTGTTTTGTATAGCACAAATTCATATAACATGCCACTTTTTCAGAATGTATCTACTGTGTTATATGATGAATACCTGTAACTGCTTTTAATTAAAGTACAAGGGAAAAAACAAATGAAGTTAAATGATATTGATTTTAATGAAGAACCTATTAAAATCAATATCACGAGAAATTAATACAACTGAAAATTTATGGATTTTTTTAAGAGGAGTGTAAAAATACTATGACAAAAGATGCTATGTCATTCCCAAATGCATTAAAATGACTCACTTTCAACATATGTTAAATTTTTCACATAATTTTGTAGTTATTTAATTGATGATTCATTTTAATTTCTCTATAATAGACTTCTATAACACAATATTCATTTAATGATAATTTATAAACTTCAATATATTTACATATTATCCCCCTGTACTCATTGCAACATCTCTGGTCAAACTATTCTTTCTCAATAAGCCTGAAGATGATGAATTAACCAAAAGCATTTGAATTATTGAAAATGTAATAAACCTAGTTTATGACAAACCAATTAACTGGTTTTGAAGAGAGAATGAAATCAGTATCATTCTTATGGTATTGTGTTCACTTGCCATTTTTGACTTTTAGTTGGCAGTATGCTTACATCTAAAATGATTACACAACTGATATACTACCAGGAAATTTCAATTTAACATTAAAATTTGTACACAACTAAGGATTGCAATTGCTGGATCCCTCATCCAGCAATCTAGCTGGATCCAGCGTATTCTTCGGCCTGCTGGATCCAGCACTGCAGATCCGCAAATACTCAATTAACCTTCTAAATAATGGCGAAAAGTCTACGTTGTCGGTGTTGCCGCGTTTCTATGTGTGCTATCGCTCGGCGGCGAGGGCGACGTTGCCGTTCAATGTGGCACATGCTACACCCCGTCTCTACACCACACTGCCTGCCCTTTTACCTCTGCTGATCTAATTGCCAGTTGACTTTTCACTCTCGCTAAATAAAGTGTCTTCGCACTAAATAAAATAAGTAACTCCTCTCTTAGTCCTGGTGCATAATTCTAATTTATGGTCGGTTCTGACGTCAATGAATCATGTGACGGAACGATCTCAGTTTAAGCCTATGGAGAGCTGCAGCCTTGCGGCTTGTCCACAAAACCTAACCTATAAACTGGCCGTAAAAGCTCTCTGTAGAAGAGAGTCGAGTTTGATAACTGCTGACACAACCCTGAAATTTATCTTATACAAACTAAAAAGCCAGGACACAAGCCAGGACGCAAAAGAATCAGAGAACGGCGTCTTATCGAGGTCACAGGGATGCTGATTTACATACAGAACCCGAAGAACTATAACCAAAAAGTTAGAAAGCACGATTATTCTTTCACAATAC